GTTATGGAGGAACCTTACGTGGACAGACAAGGAAAACCCTTGACAAAAGGTGTCTCTGGACCATCAATGGAATGGGGGTGGACCTGTTCTAAGCACCCCAGACATGTTTTTTCTTGCTTCTGCTTCTGCTGTTACCAGCAGTGCCCCAGACAGACAAGATGGCCACCAGCTGCAAAGACCCTGCTACACCTAGCTCACCTATGTTCCAGAGGTGATTGATTCTTGTGGAGAAGGGGATTGATAGAGAGCAGCATGCGGAGTGGAAGCAGCCATGGAAGTTTCTTGTATCAGTACCAATTCGCCTGTTGCAGTTGCTGTGTCAGAAGAGAATTCACTTTCCTCAGCTTAGAGCTATGTACTGGTGGGGGAAAAATACCAGTTGGAACTGAAACTCCTGTCAGTGCAGCAGTGAGTATGGACACTTTTGTGAAGACAGCAGGAACTAAGAGTGTGCCAGCAAGTAATGAGAATGACAATACTGATAAGCACTGGATTTGTTGATGGTGGGGGGGTGATGATTGGCATTAATGATGCTGACATTACCAAATGTGATAATTCTCTCCCTACTCAGGAGAAAAAGGATTAATCAGTAATACAAACCAATCTCCAATCTGTACAAGGGTTATCTGTAAAAATTGTATCAGATGGTTCAAAACGCACAGATGGCTCTTCAGAAGGGCGGAATGTTGAAAGCTATGCTTCTATTTTGGGGGTTTTAAAGCCTCTGATAATTTTTCTTTCATTTGCCCAGTTGGCAGTTTTGAGTACGATTTATCATTTGTGCAACCTTAAGGTCTCTTTTTTTTGGTTGAGATATAGGAGGTGCAAGGGTCTTGGTAGTTTGATGCCAACGGTATTCATGGCAGCCTTGATAAAATTGGTGACAATCCTGGTTCATAATGAATCAATTCCAGAGACTAATTTGGTAGTATGGCTACATCGATATGGTGAGGTCCTCACCCCACTGCAGAAGGTCCTTGATAACATGGCATATGGACAAGGGTGCGGCCAGTGTTGCTGAAAATGTGGGTACTGGTCAATATGGTTCAACACCTGCCCTCTTCAGCCTTTCCGGAGAAGGAAAGGCTGACCATTTTTGTATGTGGGTCAGCCTAAGTTTTGTAATAAGTCTGCAGTTAAAGGCCACTTTGCATCATCCTGCTCTGTTAAAAAAAATGCTTACTGTGCCAGGATTTTGGCCATTTGCCCAAAGAATGCACCTAGATTTGGTCCAATTTGTGCCACCAGCTGGGTCATCCATATAGTCAGTGCCTAAAGGCACTACATAACCTGCCATGATTGGAGACCGAGCTGTAAAGGCTTGATAAAGAGGATGAGACAGCTGAAGTTAGGGAGGAAACTGTTGTTGCCCCTTCTGTTGTGTCAGATCATGTTTCCTCTAGTAATGTGGTCCCTGAATCTGTCCCTCCTGTGGTGGTACTTAATTCTACTGTGCATAGATCCTTCAGACTAGCGGAAGCTGCTGAGAGGAGTGGTTTAGCAAATCTTCCCTCTCAGCCTACTCCACCGCCAGTCCTTCCCCTTCAACAGCGCAAATATGGCCAGGAGAGTGTAGAGGTGCTGGATAAAGATGGGGTCAATGGGCTTGAAGGTGGGGTGTCCATATCCCATGTCTCATCCTCTGTTGAAGGTGTTTCAGCTGATGAGGGGTGGGAGAGAATTAGGAGGAAGAAAAAGAATAACAGCAGGATGAGTACAGTGGTCCTTTTTTCTTCAGAAACAGACCCAGAGGAGTTCCTATTGACAATACATTTTCAGTTTTATCAGGTGATGAGATGGTGTCTTATTTGTCTTTGTCACCTATGGATGAAGGAGAGCCACAAATTCTGAAGAGAGCTCTTTGGCATTGCTATTTCAGTCAAGCACCACCTGCAGTGAGGAGCATAGACTGTACCTGCCAAAAGGGGAAGAAAATTGTGAGAAACTTGGTTCCTCTATTACTTCCTGCAGTCACGAGCATAGCGTTGTCCAATTGCATGCTGTTTCCCCATGTGACTCCAGTGGCCATTGTGCATCAGGCAAAGTCTATTTAAGACTTTGGCCCTCTGGTTTGATTCACTTTATGCCAGTAGCTAGTGCAGGGGCAGGTTCCCTGTCTGGCAGGGACATTACTCCTCAGGAACCTTTTCCTACATCTTAATAGTGTCAGTGAAGGGACTATGTCCTCTTTCTAGGAAGCCTCCCCTTTGGGTGAAGGCGGGAAAGGCCCCATTCTACTCCTCGTTGCAGACATTATTGGTATCTTCAAGTCTTTAGACTGCTGTCACAGTTTGTAAGTGGGTCTGGAGGGTGTGCTTACCAGCTGGGTCTGAATAAGTTGTTTTGAACCTTACTTCAATATAACTTTATTGTCTAACTTGGACTTGGTTTGTTCTCTGCCCACCACACCATGCTGCACCTTAATCACAAGCTGTTTTGGGTGATGAGGGTATGGTAAAGGTTAAGAAATGACTACCCCAATCATCCTGATGGTATATCCAGCTTCATTAAAGGTGGCAACCATTAATGTCACCAGCATTAAATATGCAAGAGCACATGATATTGCCTTATTTTTGCTCAGCAAGTTTTATGCTGAGATTTTATTTTTGCAAGAGATCTGGCTTAATGCTTTGGCCAATGTTCATCTAGCAAAAAAGGAGTAGTCCCTCCTTTTTGTTCTCTTGCAGCTGAGCCCTGCAGCAGAGTTGCGGAGCTTTCTAAAACCAATATGGTAACGTACTGGCTAGTAATTGAGGTAGAAATGGGGAGATGCATAGTCCTGTACATCTCCATTAGGGTGCAGGACCTGGGCCCCATCAATATCTATGGACCACTGGCAAAATGAGACAGAAAATGCCTCCTCAGAAAGGTCAAGCGCTTCATTTTTACATCCCACTAGGTTGCCTTCGGAGATGACTTTAACACCATAATTAGGCCCACAGACAGGAAAGGCTCCTTAGACAGGCTGGGTTATGATAGTGTTTTTCATATTATCATGTACCTGATGGGAGACTGAATTGACGAGGTCGGCCTCACTTGTGTCACTGGCCCTGACCCCGCTGAGGTTTGAACAGAGGGAGTCAGGGGGACAAGAGCACCAGTAGTTGTTGCTTGCGGCTCTTGCAGATGATGACCTTGCTAGGCAGAGTATCTTCTGATTTAGGCACCGTAATAATAGACAGAACAGGTTATGTGGATTGCCCAATGTGCAGCAGAGCCAGGTGGGTAACAAGGACACAGGACTGGAGCAGAGTCATAGGATAGTCGGGGTCATCAACAGTCGGGCAGTGCAGTACAGAATCAGAAGGAAAAGCCAAAGTCAGGAGCAGAGCCGAAGTCAGGAACCGGGAGCAGGAGAGTAATCGGAGTTGGGTCAGGAACAAGCCGGGTCAGCAACAAAGGAATCGTACAGAAGCAAGCAGGACTCGTGGAGCTGAACACCAGTCAGCACTGAACCTGAGCAGAGGCCCTCCTTAAATAGCTGGCGCCAATCTTTGCTGTGCGTGTGCACGTGTACGTGCATGTGTGCGATCTCGCATTCCTGCGTGCCTGCGCACAACTGGCAATTCTCCTGCGGGATCTGTTTCGCGCATGCGTGTTCCCGATCGTGATTCTTCTTGCGGGAAATCCCTTACAGATATGGTTAGACAAGCAGGCCTGGTTGATGTGCATCTAAGCACTGCCCTGGCAGCACAGGTTTCACATTTCAGAGAGGGAATAGTCAGAGTAGCATAGATAGGTTTTTCTAAAAGAGAACTCTGCTTTTTCGGCTTCTGAGTTGAGGAAGGTGCCACACCTGACCCTACCTGTTCAGGCCAAAGGGTGGCCTAGGAATGGTCAACTCAATGGTTTTCTTTTATTTGCTCTTTTTTAAAATACAGTCTTGGTAATATGTTAGCAGAGACCCCGCCGAGAGGAGTGGGTATTTTTCAATCTTGATTTAAGCCTTTTCTGCATTGCTGGGAAGATGGCGGGCCAGTGAAAAGTCTAAGAGTCAGACATGGCAAGCTCCCGGCTTATGATACCCCGTGTCTGAAAATATATCAGCAGTGGAAGGGGCAGCGGAGGTCCCTTCCCAGGAAGCTTCTGGAAGAGAGGATTTTGGCTTCTGCTTTCAGTGTGTCTCTGGCATTAAAGGATTGCCCAGGGTCCATAAAGAGGGAGGAGTTGCATTTAATTAATTAGGAGAGAACCCCTTTGAAGTTTAGAGATCAAGCCTGGCTCGCTTTCCATGGAAGGCTCTATGTGAGAGGGAACCTGAAGCACCACCCTGTGGATGATCAGGATTGTCCTAGAGCAGAGTGTGTTGGTAAAGTGGAGTCTAGGGACCACTTTCTGCTCTAGTGTCCCTCTAACATAAGAGGTGTATAAAAGAGTGGGGAGGGTTCTGGGCATCCTCTTTCTCTATCACATGAGTTATGCAAAGTGGGTGTACGGGGCATTCCCAGCTCGCTGGGAATTTCATTTGGATAGTTGTTCGTTACTTCACATGGAATGCACGGTATCAGATTACCCTGCAGAAGAAAGTCCTCCCTGTTGAGGTGTGGGTTCACAATATTCTGGGTGAGGTTGGGATGATTCAGGGTCTTGAGAAGGGCAGGGAGCCTTGGGTGGTCTGATAAAGGTGTGGAGGAATATCAGACCTGCCTTTGGTGAACTGTCCATCTCTGGGGGAGGGGCTATTTTCTTATGCTGTTCTTTTCACTCCCTTAGTTTTTGTTGGTTATTAAGATATTCTTTTTGAAGAAGGGCTGCATGCATAATGGGGGCAGGGTTGTTTCTTGACCTCTCAGGTTTGATGTCTGGTGTAGTGATGCGAGTGGTGGTACGATTTATTTCCCCAGTAATGACATGTTAATTTCTGAGAGGTTTGCTTTTGTCTGACAGCAGATTTTGCTATATTTATATTTGTTTTTGTGTAAATATGTATATAATTATTTATATATATTCTGTATATTATTTTATGTTTATTGATTGCAAGACTTTTAATAAAGATAAATTGGGAAGAATGTCCCTTACATTGGTGGTCAGTGGGAAGAATGTCCCTTACATTGGGGGTCAGTGGGAAGAATGTCCCTTACATTGGTGGTCAGTGGGAAGAATGTCCCTTACATTGGTGATCAGTGGGAAGAATGTCCCTTACATTGGGGGTCAGTGGGAAGAATGTCCCTTACATTGGGGGTCAGTGGGAAGAATGTCCCTTACATTGGTGATCAGTGGGAAGAATGTCCCTTACATTGGAGGTCAGTGGGAAGAATGTCCCTTACATTGGGGGTCAGTGGGAAGAATGTCCCTTACATTGGGGGTCAGTGGGAAGAATGTCCCTTACATTGGGGGTCAGTGGGAAGAATGTCCCTTACATTGGGGGTCAGTGGGAAGAATGCTCTTTACATTGGTGGTCAGTGGGAAGAATGTCCCTTACATTGGTGGTCAGTGGGAAGAATGTCCCTTACATTGGGGGTCAGTGGGAAGAATGCCCCTTACATTGGAGGTCAGTGGGAAGAATGCTCCTTACATTGGGGGTCAGTGGGAAGAATGTCCCTTACATTGGGGGTCAGTGGGAAGAATGTCCCTTACATTGGGGGTCAGTGGGAAGAATGTCCCTTACATTGGGGGTCAGTGGGAAGAATGTCCCTTACATTGGTGGTCAGTGGGAAGAATGTCCCTTACATTGGGGGGGGGGTCAGTGAGAAGAATGTCCCTTACATTGGGGGTCAGTGGGAAGAATGTCCCTTACATTGGTGATCAGTGGGAAGAATGTCCCTTACATTGGGGGTCAGTGGGAAGAATGTCCCTTACATTGGAGGTCAGTGGGGAGAATGTCCCTTACATTGGGGTCAGTGAGAATAATCTCCCTTACATTGGTGACCAGTGGAAAGAATGTCTCTTCAATTTGTGGTCAATGGGAAGGATTCTCTTTTATATTTTTGTTTATGGGTAAGAATGCTCCTTACATTAGTGGTCACAATGCCACCAGTACAGAAAGCTAAAAAGATCTGCCAAGGGGTGTTGGAGCTGGAACTATCCAGGCACCAACATTTTTCAGGTCACCTAGGCAAAGCTCATGGAACCCCTAACAACCTCTGGAGAAACCCCACATTTCCAGAAAACCCTGGTAGATAAAGGCTGCTATAGCTGATCATCAAGTCTCTATAGCAGCTTGGTGCACAAACTTGCATTGTGACATGAAATCAAACATCTCGCTGCTTCAAACCTATGAGTGATGACTGTTCTACCCAATAGTTTCCAATTGCCATGTCTGCCGGTGTACTCACCTCCAATATCAGTCTCAATACTTTCAGTTGCAACCCCAGCTGCAGATGTTGTGAATCCTCGGAGGGTGATGGTGTAGTTGGTCCCATACTGGAGGGGGATTTTATATTCAGTCACATTGGGTGGAAACTGGAGAGATTCATCCACAGCAAAGGACACATTGTAATCCCTCCAGGCTGAGATATTCATCTACAAGGAATCATTTCATGGGTTATATCTTATGTCACTCATTTTATGACCATGCAACAAAGAGAATAAATAACTAAATGGTTCTTTAGTAAGGTGAAAAGAAATCTGAAATTACTTAATGCCAATTTTTAAATGTATCTACTTTTAAAATTATTTTATGTTAATAACATTTAACGGCTTCCCAGCTGCCCTATAGCAGAAGTACTGCTACAGGGCGGCAGGACTGTGCAAAATCACACACACACATATATATATATATATATATATATATATATATATATATATATATATATATATATACACACACACGTGATTTGCATTTACAGGTAGGGGCCACGCGCTGCCACCCTACCTGTTGTACCATTGGCGGCTACAGATGTTGATCACCAGGTCCCGGCTGGAGATTCCCCGCCGGCACCCAGCGATCACCGAGAAAAAGTGACGGGTGAGACCTGTGTGTAAACAGCAGCAGTAACGTGCAGCAGAAAAAACACACAGCAGCCTGTTTCCCTAGTAAAACACACACAGTAAAAGAGCACACAGTTAACCCTTTGATGGCCACAGATGTTAACCCCTTCCTGCCCAGTGCTATTAGTACAGTATCAGTGCTTTTTATTAGCCCTGTGTCATTGGGATGCCAGTGGCAGTTAGTCAGTTCCCCCCAGTGTCAGAATACCCGCCGCAGTCCCGCTAAAAGTCGCTGATCGCTAGTATAAAAAAAAAAAAATAAAAATAAAAATTCCAGAATATATACACTGTCACTTGTAGACGCTATAATTTTCATGTAAATTAATTTACATGTATTGGGTTTTTTTTTTAGCAAAGACATGTAGCAGAATATATCTTGGCCTAAATTTATGACAACATTAGATATTTTAAATTTTTTTTACTGGATGTTTTATAGCAAAAAGTAAAAAATATTTTTCTTTTTCAAAATTGTCAGTCTTTTTTTGTTTATAGCGCAAAAGATTAAAAAACGCACCGCTAAAAGAAAGCTCTATTTGTGGGGGGAAAGGACGTAAATTTCATGTGGGTGCAGCGTTGCATGACCGCACAATTGTCAGTTAAAGTAACGCAGCGCATTGTCGCAAAAAATGGCCTGGCCAGGAAGGGGGGGAGTGCCCATCAGTGCCGCCTATCAGTGCCCGTCAGTGCCGCCTAACAGGTCCAATCAGTGCCAGTCAGGGCCACCTATCAGTGCCATATATGAGTGCTGCCTGTCAGTGCCCATCAGTAATGCCTGTCAGTGCCCATCAGTAATGCCTGTCAGTGCCCATCAGTGATGCCTGTCAGTGCCCATCAGTGATGCATGTCAATGCCCATCAGTAATGCCTGTCAATGTCCATCAGTGATGCCTGTCAATGCACATTAGAGCCACCTACCAGTGACTCCTCATTAGTGCCATCTATCAGTGCCCATCACTGCAGCCTCATTAGCGCACATCAGTGAAGGAGAAAAAAATTACTTATTTACAAAATTTTATAACAGAAACCTAGAAAAACTTTTTTTTTCAAAAATTTTCATTCATTTTTAGTTTGTTTAGCAAAAAATAAAGAAACCCAGTGGCGATTAACGTAAATACCACCAAAAGAAAGTTCAGTTTAAAAAAATGACATAAATTATGTTTGGGTACAGTGTTGCATGACCGCGTATGTCATTCAAAGTGTGACAGCACTGAAAGCTGAAAATTGGCCTGGACTGGAAGGGGGGTAAAAGTGCCCTGTAGGCAGGAAGGGGGGGTAGAAGTGCCCTGTAGGCAGGAAGGGGGTAGAAGTGCCCTGTAGGCAGGAAGGGGGTAGAAGTGTCCTGTAGGCAGGAAGGGGGTAGAAGTGCCCTTGTAGGCAGGAAGGGGGTAGAAGTGTCCTGTAGGCAGGAAGGGGGTAGAAGTGCCCGGTTAGGCAGGCAGGGGGTAGAAGGGCCCTGTAGGCAGGAAGGGGGTAGAGGTGCCCTGTAGGCAGGAAGGGGGTAGAAGTGTCCTGTAGGCAGGAAGGGGGTAGAAGTGTCCTTTGTAGTAGAAGAAGAAGTTCCTGTAGGCAGGAAGGGGGTAGAAGTGCCCTGTAGGCAGGAAGGGGGTAGAAGTGTCCTGTAGGCAGGAAGGGGTAGAAGTGTCCTGTAGGCAGGAAGGGGGTAGAAGTGCCCTGTAGGCAGGAAGGGGGTAGAAGTGTGTCCTGTAGGCAGGAAGGGGGTAGAAGTGTCCTGTAGGCAGGAAGGGGGTAGAAGTGCCCTGTAGGCAGGAAGGGGGTAGAAGTGCCCTGTAGGCAGGAAGGGGGTTAGAAGTGCCCTGTAGGCAGGAAGGGGGTAGAAGTACCCTGTAGGCAGGAAGGGGGGAAGTGTCCTGTAGGCAGGAAGGGGGTAGAAGTGTCCTGTAGGCAGGAAGGGGGTAGAAGTGCCCTGTAGGCAGGAAGGGGGTAGAAGTGTCCTGTAGGCAGGAAGGGGGTAGAAGTGTCCTGTAGGCAGGAAGGGGGGTAGAAGCGTCCTGTAGGCAGGAAGGGGTAGAAGCGTCCTGTAGGCAGGAAGGGGGTAGAAGCGTCCTGTAGGCAGGAAGGGGGTAGAAGCGTCCCCGCGGTAGGCAGGAAAGGGGGTAGAAGTGGTAGGCAGGAAGGGGTTAGAAGTGGCCCTGTAGGCAGGAAGGGGGCTAAGAAGTGTCCTGTAGCAGGAAGGGGGTAGAAAGTGTCCTGTAGAGTGGAAGGGGGAAGTGCCCTGTAGGCAGGAAGGGGGTAGAAGTGTCCTGTAGGCAGGAAGGGGGTAAAGTGCCCTGTAGGCAGGAAGGGGGTAGAAGTGTCCTGTAGGCAGGAATGGGAGAAGTGTTAGTCAGGAAGGGGGGTAAAGTGTCCAGGGTAGGCAGGAAGGGAGGGTAGAAGATGCCTTGTAGGCAGGAATGGGGTTGAGAAGTGCCCTGTAGGCAGGAAAGGGGGGGGTGAGAAGTGTCTTGGAGGCAGGAAGGAGGGTTAAAGAGCCCTGTATGGCAGAAGGGGGGGCAGATGTGCCGGAGGCCGGAAGGGCGTAGAAGCTGCTGTTTCCCCTGTTATTATGTAGGGAGTGTTTTGGATGAAAATTCCATAGAGGGATGTTATCGGGTGTGCGGTCACCAGATTATTTCCCCCATTATGACAGACTTTTATCAAACGGAACCCTCCCGGCTTGTGTCCCACTCCCGGGCTTCCATCTTTACCGGACTTTTTCCCTTTCCCGGGTTTATGTTTTTTGGCCATTTTAAAGGCC